CCACAACATTTACAATTTTTGAGTTGTACGACGTTTCGCTGGTAATTGCCTCCAGCATCATCGGGCAATTCGCCATTCTGTGAACTATTTGTCTTTTGTCAACGTGACACTTTTTAAATCCTTTATATTAAGTTCGCTTGCTTGCTTGCTTAGGACCGTGCAAATCTTTCGGTCGTTTTTAAACCCACTTCCCGTGATCAATCGAGCTGACATTTTGCACACAGACTCAGTTGTGCGTGACAATTAATTTCGTGAAATTTTTTTTCCAAAATTTTACACTTTTTAGGACAAAAATATTATATTTATTACCAATTGCTTAATACTGGCAGGACAATCATCTGACCCATAGGTGGCAGCCACTCTCAAACCAGAGGACGAGAGGACTCTAGCCGCCACGCATATAAAGGATTTATAGTGAAAAACTTTGTTTTTACGAGTTATACTTTTTTACTGATTGGCCGTGTCGGGTGGTGGAGGGTTACGACACATTTATAAATAACGCCATCTAACACCCAAAAACGTGATTATGAATAATTTTGGTCGCGAAAGCCTCACACGTGTTCAACTGACACACACATCGGTTAGTGCTGAACTAAGTAACTTATTGGCCACGTTCTGTTCACGTGAATAAACCTTACTGATTGCGCTGTGTCGGGTGGAAGCTGGGTTTAACAACGCATTTATATTTACACGATCTGACACAAAATACCTCCATTAAGGATTTGTTTTACTTTTCTTGAGTTCAGTAGAGGATGCACTTACCACATCGCATATCCAAAGCTCTCTCTGAGTGCTGACGTATCAGTGAATCTATGAAATGCTCACACGAGTGACATCGTGTGCACACAGTTTACTGGACAACAATAGAAACCATCGTGAACACATTGTCCCATAGACTCACACAGAGACCCATAGACTCACACACAGACCCATAGACTCACACAGAGACCCATAGACTCACACAGAGACCCATAGACTCACACATAGACCCATAGACTCACACAGAGACCCATAGACTCACACAGAGACCCATAGACTCACACAGAGACCCATAGACCTCACACAGAGACCCATAGACTCACACAGAGACCCAAAGACTCATACAGCGACCTAAAGATTCATTCAGAGACCCAGATATTAAAACCCATAGACTCACGCAAATAACCCATAGGACTCACACATAGATCCACAGACTCACACAGAGACCCATAGACTCACACAGAGATCCACAGACTCACACAACGACCAAATACCCACATAGAGACCCATTGCCTCACAAAGGGACCTATAGACTCACACATAGACCCCACAGACTCACACATAGATCCACAGACTCACACAGAGACGAATTGCCTCACAAAGGGACCAGATAGACACACACAGAGACCCATAGTCTCACACAGAACCCATAGACTCACTCAGAGACTCATAAACTCACACAGAGACCCATAGACTCACACATAGACCCATAAACTCACACGAGACCCATAGACTCACACAGAGACCCATAGACTCACACAGAGACCCATAAGACTCACACATAGACCCACAGACTCACACAGAGACCCATAGACTCACGCATAGACCCATAGACTCACACAGAGATCCATAGACTCACACAGAGACCCACAGACTCACACAGAGACCCATAGACTCACACATAGACCCATAGACTCACACATAGACCCACAGACTCACACAGAGACCCATAGACTCACACAGAGACCCATAGAATCACACAGAGACCCATAGACTCACACAGAGACCCACAGACTCACACAGAGACCACAGACTCACACAGAGACCCATAGACTCACACAGAGACCCACAGACTCACACAGAGACTCATAGACTCACACAGAGATCCATAGTTTGTTATCCTTCCCGCTACACCTCTGATTAGCGCGGTTGGCTGGGTATGGTGCAATTGAAAAAGTTAAATGTACACACATACTACACAATACACAACAACCGCCGCCATTTGCCGCTAAGTGGCGTTGACATCACCACAGCGCCTGTGCCAGGCTAGGTGCACGTTAAGGCCATGTGAGGTGTCAAACGCCTGCTGGCAGGAGGTCACAGGACAGACCCAGCAGGGTGCCATGGGTTGACTGCTGTGCCAGGCTAGGTGCATGGGTTGACTGCTGTGCCAGGCTAGGTGCATGGGTCGACTGCTGTGCCAGGCTAGGTGCAGGAAGAGGTCACGAGACAGACCCAGCAGGTGTAATGGGTTTACTGCTGTGCCAGGCTAGGTGCAGGAGGAGGTCACGAGACAGACCCAGCAGGTGTCATGGGTTGACTGCTGTGCCAGGCTAGGTGCAGGAGGAGGTCACGAGACAGACCCAGCAGGTGTCATGGGTTGACTGCTGTGCCAGGCTAGGTGCAGGAGGAGGTCACGAGACAGACCCAGCAGGTGTAATGGGTTTACTGCTGTGCTAGACTAGATGGAGGAAGAGGTCACAGGACAGACCCAGCAGGTGCCATGCGTTGACTGCTGTGCCAGGCTAGGTGGCAGGAGGTCATGGGACAGATCCAGCAGGTGCCATGGGTCGGCTCACCGAGATGACCGTTTGATGCACCACTTGTACCCCCTGCTGTGTCAACACAAAACACACAAAGATAAAGATCCCCCATGTAGACTCGAGCAGACCGTTGGGGAAAGTGCTATTAGCGAGTAGCACCTATGAAGGTGGGTGGCCAGCTCCACGACCAGTCGCATTTGATGTTTACACACCGCACCAGGTACTCATTTGAGGCTGAGTCGACCTATGGGAGGCCCATGACCAATTCAGATAATCGTCACCAGTGTCGGCCTTGAGCGGTAATCGAACTTATCCACCCGGGGCTCCGCTCGTTGTTGTGAGAGTCGCTCCTCCGCCCTCCGTTGTGTTGGAGGGCGATTGCCTCCAACTGCCCAGTAGCGTCCTTCACGAGCCTCCTCCACAGAGGCCGATCTTGACACTGCTGGTACCAGTCATCGCAAGTCCACTCAGCTCCACGTCCTCCTGTACCACATCATTCCATCTCTTCTCTAGCCTGTGCCGCGCCCGTTTAGCCCCCTCTATCCGGCTGGACGAACGCTGTTTAGGCATGCGGTGGCTGGGCATGCAGGCTACATGACCCAGACAATGCAGCCTTGCCTGCCGGAGGAGCTCACCGATGGGAATTTGTCCAGATCTTTCAAGGATTTGTGAGCTCCTCACACAATACAGCCTGGTTAAACCCAGGATGGATCGTAGGCAGCCAGCATAAATATTTCTAACCAGAGATGTTCCATTAGGAGGGTCTACGTTTTGCAAGCGTAGAGAAGGTAGAAAATGACTGTGGTCGAGAAGACCTGAAGCTTCGTGCGGAGCGACAGATCAGGCAGCTTCCACACAGCGTTACACATCCGATGAAAAGATATTGCCGCTCAACTGATTCGGAGTGAGACCTCTGCTGTCAAACCGGAGTTGGTTATGAGCACACTGCCCAGGTATGGGAAACTCTCCACTCTCTTCACAACTGCCCCATCACCGATTGGGAGTGGTGGGGGTGGAGTGTCCGATTGCACAAAATAACCAGGCAGGTTCTTAGTTTTTGGTGGGGCTTTTGGTAAGGCCCCACTTCTTAGTGGCAAGTTCCAGGTTCAGCAGCAGCGCCTCCAACTCCTCCTCTGAGTGAGCAGCAATTACCAGATTTGCATACGTAACATTGGTTGACCAATAGGAAGCCATACCTTGACCGCCCCCTTTTGCCACTGTGGTGGCTACAGACGCCACCAGGGGGAATGGCCAATCGAAATTTGCCCTCCCCCCATGGCACTGCTCACCCCAACGTTGCCGTCCGGCACCAATGAGGAGCTAGGGGGTTGTTTTACTGGTAGGAACGAAGTGAACCAGCCTACAATAGATTATATCGTCCGTCCGTCCGTCCGATGTCCGATTAGGTGTAGCAACATCGCCCCCTACTGCAAACACTTGGCAGGACCCTACGAACACCTTTAGACTCAGTGAGGCTTTCCTGGCTAAACAAGTGTAATAATACATTATAATTCCCTGAGATAGTTTTTGATTAAAACATTTAAATTCTAAATTAACTCACAGCGGCCTAAAGCCTACAGCTAGGCCTAAAGCCTAGAACTAGGCCTCAAACTCTCCCTTCGTATCGTACCCCCGCCATTTCATTTTATTATAGCCATTCATTTGTTCGTTCCTACCAGCCCACCCCACAGGGGACCTGTTACCAGACTCAACAACAACAACCGCCATTCGCCACTAAGTGGCGGGTGACGTCACCACGACGCTTGTGCCAGGCCAAGTGCACCTTGAGGCTACCACGTGAAGTGTCGAACGCCCGCTGGCAGGAGGTCACGGGGCAGACCCAGCAGGTGCCACGGGTCGACTGACTGAGATGTTCAAAAAATATTTGTTCATATTTTTACATACATTTTTTATCTATTCATGTTTTTATAATTTTTATTTTTACTATACATTTTTACTTTATTTTTATTATCATTATATTAGCGTACATTGTTATTATTATTTTACATAATATTTTTAGAATTTTCAATTACCATTTTAATATTGGAAATATTAACTTAATATGTTTTTAAACGTACCCAATTAGTTTCTTATTTCATGACCGAGACGACTGGCTGATGCACCACCTGTGCCGCCTACTGTGCCAACTTGCCAGACTCACACACAGACACACACACAGACACAAAGACACCGACACACACACACAGACACACACACACAGACACACACACACAGACACAAAGACACCGACACACACACAGACACACAGACACACACACACAGACACACACACACAGACACGCACACACACACAGACACACACAGAGACACCCACACACACAGAGACACACACAGAGACACACACTAATACAAAGACACAGAGGCACACAGACACACAGACACAAAGACAAAGACACCGACACACAGATCTCTCTCTTATACGCCGATTGCTATCGCACCCTTCCCCGGCACAGACTGTGGAGTGGAAACGATGGGGCAGACGCAGCCGTGGCTTGCCCAGTTGCAAAGCACCAGCGGGATCTTTGCTTCGTGCGACTCGACGCTTCTCAACGCGAAGTGGCTCCTCACCAGCGCGTCCTGTTTCAACGGCACGTGAGTGGTGACTTTTATAATTTTTTTAATTAAAATGTTTACTTAATCTTCTTGGTTTTTTTCGGTAAAGTCACGTAGAAGGGAAGTAATGAACTAATACAAATAAAACATAAAAAAAATATTTCTATTATTTTATAATGTTTTAGTAAAACATTATAAAATAATAATATTATAAAATAATAATATTATTTTATAATGTTTTATTAAAACACAATAAAATAATTCTATTATTTTATTATGTTTTATTAAAACACAATAAAATAATTATATTATTTTATTATGTTTTATTAAAACACAATAAAATAATTCTACATATTCATGTTTTTATAAGTTTTATTTTTACTGTACATTTTAACTTTATTTTTTATTATCATTATATTAGCGAACATTGTTATTATTATTATTATTATTTTACATAATTTTAATTTTAATTTTTAATTAGCATTTTAATATTGGAAATGTTTACTTTATATGCTTTTTAAACGTACCCAATTAGTTACTTATTTCAGCACTAACCGGTGTTATGTGTGTGTTGGAAAGTAACTTTTATCATTTTTTTTATTAAAATGTTTACTTAATTTTTTTAATTTGTACATATTTTTTTATATATTCATGTTTTTATAATTTTTATTTTTACTATAAATTTTTTATCATTCTATTAGCGTACATTGTTATTATTATTATTTTACATAATTTTATTATAATTTTCAATTACCATTTTAATATTGGAAATGTTTACTTTATGCTTTTAAACGTACCCAATTAGTTACTTATTTCAGCACTAACCGGCGTTGTGTGTGTGTGTGTTGGAGAGTAACCCCGCTGCAACATTTACAATTCTAGTTAACATATCGTTTTGCCGCTAAAAACAAAATGGCTGCAGAAGAAAATTAAATCTGCGTTTTACAACGGGCTCATCAAAGTCCAGAACTAAACCCCATTGGAATGTTGTGGCAGGATCTGAAGCGAGATGTTAAGGAGTTCTGTAAGGAGGAATGGACCAACATTCCTCAAATGCGATGCGAGAGAGACTGACCAACGGGTTACAGGAAACTCATTGCTACTCAAGGAGGTGTCACCAATGACTGAATCTAAAGGGTGCACATACTTTTTCACACATCGTGCTTATTGAATGTAGGATCATTTGAGGATAAATAAATGTTGAAAGAGTATCATGTTTTTGTGTCATTTGTTTGACTGGGTTATCTTTTTCAATTGTTACGACTTAGATTAAGATCTAATAACATTTTTGCTTTGAAATGTGTCAAATATGTGAACATCCTGAGGGTGTCACAAACTTGCACTGTATATACAGTGAGGGAAAAAAGTATTTGATCCCCCTGCTGATTTTGTACGTTTGCCCACTGACAAAGAAATGATCAGTCTATAATTCTAATGGTAGGTTTATTTGAACAGTGAGAGACACAATAACAACAACAACAAAATCCAGAAAAGCGCATGTCAAAAATGTTATAGATTGATTTGCATTTTAATGAGGAAAATAAGTATTTGACCCCCTCTCAATCAGACAAAATCAGCAGGGGATAAAATACTTTTTCCCTCACTGTATATTTATGTCGACGGTCATGACCAAGCAAATTTATGGCTCACAAGTGACGTCATCACATCTAACCCTCTATTTAAGGAACGAAACGGGAGGATTTTTCCACAAATCTGGCTGTCACCTGATGAAGCTGGTTGTAATTACTGGCGAAACGTCGTACTCAGATTGTAAATGTTGTGGCTTTGCTCTCCAACACACCGGTGGACTAGTAATGAAGTGGCAAATATAGTAGTAGGTTTTTACCCTTTCAACTGGTACAAAAACTGACACCTTTATACAAGGCATCATGTTTGCAATAACCGCAACACAAGCAGTCAAAATGCAAACAAAAAGAAACAACTCTGATGATGATAATGATATGCACTGTCCTTGAAGTTGATTGGTCCACACCCGAGACAGCTTTTCTTAGAGCCTAGTCTCCATTGGTGTTGGACCAGATGACGCCAAAAGGCGTACAACTCAAAGACAGCGCACTATCAGAGTATTGAGAGCTCGGGGTCAAGCATTTACACTATGAGACCTCCTTTACCAGTGGCAAAATATGGTAGTAGGTTTTTACCCTTTAAACTGGTACAAAACTGACACCTTTATACAAGGAATCATGTTTGCAATAACCACAACACAAGCAGTCAAAATGCAAACATGATGCCTTGTATAAAGGTGTCAGTTTTGTACCAGTTTAAAGGGTAAAAACCTACTACAACATTTTGCTACTGGCAAAGGAGATGTCTCATAGTGTGGCAAGTTCTATTTACGTGACAAACCTTACTCATTGTCTGTGTCGGGTAGTGGTGGTGGGTTTCAAGACACGTTTATATATTTACTCGATCTAACCCAACAACAACCTGTATTATAAACAGATGTTTTCTTTGCACCCTCGACAAAAACTCTGAACCCACCGCAGGTCCGCCCTGCCTGTCGACTGGCGAGCAGCCTTCAACAACAGCAACTTGCAAACCCTCGTCGCCATTCACCTGCATCCCAAGTTCAACGCCACCACCTCCGACTACGACGCTGCGTTGGTTCAACTGAGCTACGCCATTCCACTTTCGGACGCCGTGAGGCCGGCTTGCCTCCCGAACAGGCGCGAGCCAAATCCCCTACCCGGGAAGTCCTGCTCCGTCGCGTCCATCCAAGCGGGTAAATCTATTCGTCGCGGGTGGAGGTTGGTTGTTGTTCAAGTTAATTTGACTGAACCGGTGCGCTGATCCTAAAAGTTCAATTTCTTTTGAAAGGGAAAAACATAAAAAAAACTTTTTTTCTTATTTCACTGGTGGGTGAGCCCCCCCCCCCCCCCCCCACTTGAGCTTCTATCTATGTAGCTCATACTGGTAGGAACCTCCTGGTTCCACCAGCCTACAGGGGATTATTGTGTCCGTCGTGCATGGAGGGGCTGGGTGGGGAGGGTGGGGCTGGGTGGGGAGGGGAGTGTGGGGAGGGGCTGCGTGGGGAGGGTGGGGCTGGATAGCAGTGGGAGGGGTGGGGCTGGGTGGGGAGGGGCTGGGTGGGGGGTGGGAGGGGTGGGGCTGGGTGGGGAGGGGCTGGTCACCCCGTGGTGCGATAGAGCGTGAGATGATGCATAACGCATTGCCTGGACAAAGAGCGAGGTGCGTGGTGGTGAGTAGCATCTTGAAGCATCCAGCAGCATCCCAGTCTCTCGTGCGATGATGACGATGTTGATGACGATGATGACGATGATGACGACGATGACGACGATGATGACGATGATGATGATGATGACAACGATGATGATAATGACGATGACAATGATGACGTTGATGATGACAACAATGATGATGACAATGATGATGATGATGACAACAATGATGATGACAATGAGGATGATGATGACGATGATGATGACAATGATGATGATGACAACGATGATGATGACAATGAGGATGATGATGACGATGATGATGACAATGATGATGATGACAACAATGATGATGACAATGAGGATGACAATGATGATGACAATGACGACGATGATGATGACAATGATGACGATTATGATGACGATGATCATAATGACGATGATGACGACGATGACGTTGATGATGACGACAACGATGATGATGACAATGAGGATGATGATGATTGATGATGACGATGATGACGACGATGATGATGACAATGATGACGTTGATGATGACAACAATGATGATGACAATGAGGATGATGAGGACGATGATGATGACAATGATGACGATTATGATGATGACGATGATCATAATGACGATGATGACAATGATGACGTTGATGATGACAACGATGATGATGACAACAATGATGATGACACTGACGATGATGATGACAATGATGACGTTGATGATGACAACGATGAGGATGACAATGAGGATGACAATGAGGATGACAATGATGATGACAATGATGATAAAGATGCAACTGTTGCAACCACCGCTTATTCCTACTCGCGCTGCGAGATCATTTCGTTCACTTAATCCCGTCACACTGCTTATCCCCAAGTGGCTTCCCCACCAAAAAAAAACGCGTTCCATACCATACATCCATCACCGTGTTGTGTGTCTAATCCACGTTATGGAAACGCGCAGCATCATAAGAGAACCAGACTGATTAGGCTTTACGGTTCAACTTCTTTCACACCGTACGTAGACATCCGCGGATAATTGGAGGTTTGGTTACAAAAGACAACAAACTCTCAATGCAACATCAATTTCATTCATTGTTCGCTGTACCCTCCTCTGCCGACAAACAGTAGCTCCCCTGGCACCCGACGACATTGGTAGCCCTCCACCTGTTTTTCACCCACGGGGACATCCGCGCCTTGCTGGGGGAAATAAAACGTGAGCGGGCGCATCGCACGGGCTGTAGGACGCGTTCTTTTCGTCTTTCCCTCCGTCGCGTTCTAGGTTCGCAGATCGTGAGACGCGTGAACATCGTGGGGCAGGAGGAATGCCGAGCCGTCAACAGCAGCAGCAGCAGCGCCAGAGCCGTCACCAGCAGGATGATCTGTGCCTCCAATCAGTTTTGCGGGGTGAGCGGAACGGATGGGTTTGCACGCACTGCAACGTACGCACATGGGGCTGAACTTCTCTTCACAATGTACGTGCGTAGCCAACCTTGGATAATCGGAGGCACGGGGGGAGGGGAAGGTCAACATAATATGGGTCTTTGTGTGAGTCTATGGGTCTCTGTGTGAGTCTATGGGTCTCTGTGTGAGTCTATGGGTCTCTGTGTGAGTTTACGGGTCTCTGTGTGAGTATATGGGTCTCTGTGTGAGTCTGAGGGTCTCTGTGTGAGTCTATGGGTCTCTGTGTAAGTCTGTGGGTCTCTGTGTGAGTCTATGGGTCTCTGAGTCTACGGGTCTCTGTGTGAGTATATGGGTCTCTGTGTGAGTCTGAGGGTCTCTGTGTGAGTCTATGGGTCTCTGTGTAAGTCTGTGGGTCTCTGTGTGAGTCTATGGGTCTGTGACTGAATCAATATACAGTGAGGAAAAAAAGTATTTGATCCCCTGCTGATTTTGTACGTTTGCCCACTGACAAAGAAATGATCAGTCTATAATTTTAACGGTAGGTTTAGTTGAACAGTGAGAGACAGAATAACAATAAACAAATCCAGAAAAACGCATGTCAAAAATGTTATAAATTGATTGGCATTTTCATGAGGGAAATAGGTATTTGACCCCCTCTCAATCAGAAAGATTTCTGGCTCCCAGGTGTATTTTATACAGGTAACAAGCTGAGATTAGGAGCACTCCCTTTAAAAGTGTGCTCCTAATCTCAGCTCGTTACCTGTATAAAAGACACCTGTTCACAGAAGCAATCAATTAATCCGATTCCAAACTCTCCACCATGGCCAAGACCAAAGAGCTCACCAAGGATGTCAGGGACAAGATTGTAGACCTACACAAGGCTGGAATGGGCTGCAAGACCATCGCCAAGCAGCTTGGTGAGAAAGTGACAACAGTTGGTACGATTATTTGCAAATGGAAGAAACACAAAAGAACTGTCAATCTCCCTCGGCCTGGGGCTCCATGCAAGATCTCACCTCGTGGAGTTGCAATGATCATGAGAACGGTGAGGAATCAGCCCAGAACTACACGGGAGGATCTTGTCAATGATCTCAAGGCAGCTGGGACCATAGTCACCAAGAAAACAGTTGGTAACACACTACGCCGTGAAGGACTGATATCCTGCAGCGCCCGCAAGGTCCCCCTGCTCAAGAAAGCACATATACTTGCCCGTCTGAAGTTTGCCAATTAACATCTGAATGATTCAGAGGACAACTGGGTGAAAGTGTTGTGATCAGATGAGACCAAAATGGAGCTCTTTGGCATAAACTCAACTCGCCGTATTTGGAGGAGGAATGCTGCCTATGACCCCAAGAACACCATCCCCACCGTCAAACATTGAGGTGGAAACATTTTGCTTTCGGGGAGTTTTTCTACTAAGGGGACAGGACAACTTCACTGCATCAAAGGGACGATGGACGGGGCCATGTACCGTTAAATCTTGGGTGAGAACCTCCTTCCCTCAGCCAGGGAATTGAAAATAGGTCGTGGATGGGTATTCCAGCATGACAATGACCCCAAACACACGGCCAAGGCAACAAAGGAGTGGCTCAAGAAGAAGCACATTAAGGTCCTGGAGTGGCCTAGCCAGTCTCCAGACCTTAATCCCATAGAAAATCTGTGGAGCGAGCTGAAGGTTCGAGTTGCCAAACGTAAGCCTCGAAACCGTAATGACTTGGAGAAGATCTGCAAAGAGGAGTGGGACAAAATCCCTCCTGAGATGTGTGCAAACCTGGTGGCCAACTACAAGAAACGTCTGACCTCTGTGATTGCCAACAAGGGTTTTGCCACCAAGTACTAAGTCATGTTTTGCAGAGGGGGTCAAATACTTATTTCCCTCATGAAAATGCAAATCAATTTATAACATTTTTGACATGCGTTTTTCTGGATTTGTGTTGTTGTTATTCTGTCTCTCACTGTTCAAATACACCTACCATTAAAATTATAGACTGATCATTTCTTTGTCAGTGGGCAAACGTACAAAATCAGCAGGGGATCAAATACTTTTTTCCCTCACTGTAACCTACTCTCACAGTCTGTCACAGGCTACACGGGGTGGATTACATGATGGTCTTTGTCTTTGCTGTGCTCTGTGTGTGCGGCAGAGCCTGGCGAGCCCACTGCTGTGCAAAGAGGTGGACGGACGCTGGTACGTGACGGGCGTGGGCAGCTGGGGTCTGTGCAGCTCGCCGGCTGTGTTCACCAGGCTCTCCAAGATCCTGGAGTTCGTCAAGCAGACGGCCGTCTGAGACGACACAACTAACTGCGCGGGTTGTAACGCAGAGGTCGCAACCGGGTACCCGATACCCGTACCCTACCCGATACCCGGCTACCCGTACCCGGCCGGGTACCCGTTTGTGACCCTGGTGCGGCCGGGTACGGGTAGGCCGTGAGTTACTGGGTGAGTCACCATTTGTCACTCATTTCCCAACGTCTTGTCTCTTCTCACAATTCAAGTTCCTAGAATCAACCCACCCGCACCTGCAACATGGCTTCATCCCAGAGGTCGCAATCAGGTACCTGATACCCGTACCCTACCCGTACCCGGCCGGGTACGGGTAGGGTACGGGTACGGCCGGGTACAGCTACGGCCGGGTACGGGTACGGCCGGGTACGGGTACGGGTAAGGAATCAAAACCCGTTCGCGACCTCTGTTGTAACGGTTGTCGTTGTCGTCTTTGTCTTCTTTCTTATGTATCCGGTATGGGCTTAATGGAATGAATTACACGGAGATTTATACCAATGGAGTTAATGGTGACCGTGGATTGGACCCCCCATCGACCCACGTGACTGCACAGTAGGCCACGTCCACGAATGGACTAATCAATTCAGGGTACAGGGCACCCATTCAGATTTGGATGGACGCTGTACAGCAGGCATGTCCAAAGTCCGGCCTGCGGGCCAATCACGGCCCGCGGTCAGATTTCATACGGCCTGCAGCTTCGGTCTTATAACGTGTTATTTATGGTTCACCAGCTCTGTCAGAATAAAAAAAATCATAAAACTTTAAGATGTAATTCCTCCTTTCACCACACGGTGGCAGCACCATTCGAATGCTCTCTGGCTCAGCATCCGTGCGGCGAACCCTTCTCGAATCATTTCTGCCATGGCGACTGCACAAAAAAAGAGAAAAGTTGACAGTGAGGGCCGCCGCTTTCAGGAGCGGTGGGAATTACAATACTTGTTCACTGTAAATCGAGGAAATTGTGTTTGTCTAATTTGTAAAGAGACGGTTGCCTTGTTTAAGGATTTCAATGTAAAGAGACACTACGAGACTAAACATGCTACAACATACGACAAGCTGACAGGGAGTGACCGCGTTGAAAAAGTTAACAACTCCAAGCTGCTCTGGCATCGCAACAGCGATTCTTCACGCGGGCCTGTGAGTCAAAGGAAAACTTCACCAAAGTCAGCTACGAAGTGGCCATGTTAATAGCTAAACATGGCAAACCTTTTACTGAAGGTGCATTTATCAAAGACCGTGTCATGAAAATGGTGGAGAACATTTGCCCCGAGAAGAAGCAAGAATTTATGAATGTTTGCCTGGCACGCAACACTGTGGCACGGAGAGTTGAGGACATGTCGTCAGATATTCAGAGACAACTTGGGGACAGGGGAGTGGCTTTTGATTATTTCTCATTAGCCTGCGATGAAAGCACCGATGCATCTGAGACTGCACAACTACTTATTTTTTAAAGAGGAGTTGATGACAACATGAACGTGACAGAGGAGCTGCTTGACCTCAAAAGCCTTAAAGGGCAAACCAGAGGAACAGATCCGTTCATTTATATTTGTGAAGCTGTTGATGATATGAAACTACCATGGAGTCAAGTTTCTGGGATCATTACCGATGGTGTGCCTGCCGTGGCTGGTGAGCAAAGTGGATCGTCCACACTGATCTGCAATAAAGTCAGCGAAGAAGCAGGTAACGCTATTACACTTCACTGTATCATTCACCAGCAGGCTCTCTGCGCCAAACATCTCAAATTTGACGATGTTATGAAACCAGTGGCAAAGGCAATCAATTCTATTCGCTCTAAAGCTCTATACCACCGACAGTTTCAGCAGTTCTTGCGTGACATCCAGGCTGAATACGGTGACGTAGTATATCACAACGATGTAAGGTGGCTAAGTCGGGGGTCCGCACTGCAGCGATTTTTCTCTCTCAAAGAGGAAATTGGACATTTTTTGGATGAGAAGGGACAACCAATGGAAGAACTGTTCGATCCTGTATGGCTGGCAAATCTGGCTTTTTTGGTTGACATGACGAAGCATCTGAATGCGCTGAATGTTAATCTTCAAGGAAAAGTTGCGGTGGTGAGCCAGCTTTACGCTCACATCAAGGCCTTTGGAACCAAACTGCAACTTTTCCAAAGACACTTGTCCCAAACAGAGCCCTGCACCGCGCACTTCCCAGCTTTGAAAGAGGTCATTGACAGGTTCCCACAGGACAACATCGGTGCGCAAATGAAGAGTTATGCAACAGCTATCCCATCTCTTTCTGTGGAATTTAACAAACGCTTTCGGGACTTTGCAGTTATTGAAAAGGACATGTTGCTTTTCTCTTCTCCCTTCTCCGTGGACCATGATTGTGCTCCTCCACAGCTGCAGTTGGAGCTCATTGAGCTGCAGTGTGACGATGAGTGCCACGGAAAACACCAGCAGTGTTCTCTTGTTGACTTTTACCGGCAGCTGGACAAAAGCAGGTTTCCAGGAATGCGGTCATTCGCTGAGAAAATGCTGAGCTTATTCGGCTCCACATATTTGTGTGAGCAAATATTCTCAGTCGTGAATTTAAACAAGAACCGATTGAGGTCAAGGAAGAGTGACTCCCATTTGCGTGACATTTTACACATCTCAAGCACTGCCCTCAAGCCAGACCTGATCTCTTTACTGAAATCTAGATCTCAGTATCACCCTTCTCATTAGTGTCAGCAAGTTATCTGTTCCTTGATCAATCTGAAATTGAGTGTTTTGAACGGTAACATCTGTCACTATTAACAGTGAAAAGCCTAAAGCACACTAATGCACTTGGACTTATGGCACTTGTTTTATTAAACTCTTGAATAAGATTTGGTTATAACTGTCGATGTTATGTACCTGTAGATGTGACATAAACTATTGCTTTCTGAAAGATCTTGTTAAAGACAAGGGCAACATTCACTTGTTTTAAAATTTAATGATAACAGACCACTTTGCATTACTTATAAATCCTGTTTAAAATGTTCATGAGGCAAATATATTTAACTCATGCAGATTTAAGGTATTCTATACAGTTTGTTCAATGTTATGTGACTGAACGAAAGGCAGAATTGTGTTTCTAGAGTTGTTCGCGTCTGCCTGAGTGGCTTATATTTGGTTACATTGTCATTTGAAAAATAAAGGTAATTGTGACAATGAAAATAGTTTTATAACAGTGTGTGTTTTCACGTAAATTTTGTGGTAAAAATGTCGGAAGGAACTATTGGCCCCCGGGCATCTTCACTTTATAAAATTTGGCCCTCTTTGCAAAAAGTTTGGACACCCCCTGGCTTAGGCGAAGGAACATAACCCCCAGGGAGACCAGTGCGTGTGTAAAGCAAGGCCGTAATCTATATATATAAAATCGCAAATCTGTCTGTCTGTGTGTGTGTCTGTGTATCGGACCATACGCAGTTTCATTGGACGAAATGTCAGGGATTTGCGAGACACGATTGGTCCGGCGGTTGCCCCTGGCAACGGGTAGCGACGCATTCGCTGCGGGGTGGACGCCATTTTTAATTCCCGTTAAAAATAGGCGCACGCATTAACACGCGACTCTGAGGTAAATTCATCAAAGTTTCACGTCCTCTTCACTCCCCCCCCCCCCCCACCACAATGTGTGCAATTACTATTATAGGGTCGGTAGATAATTAAATTATAGCGATTAGACAGTATTATTGTAACGCGGGGGGGGGGGGGGGGGGGGGAACGGCACCCGTACCCAGCCTCAGCCGGGTGGACAATTTAGGCGAGGCCGGAGGCTCTGCACGGGACTAGGCCTCGACACCCACCACACTATAGGCCGTACATATTACTGCACAGCGGCCGAGGAGATCGTGGCTGGGGGGGGGGGGGGGGCAGGGGTAGCAGCCCATCTGTGTATATATGTAAGGTTATTAAGAAATATATTTTTCACCCGGGCAACGCCGGGTACTTCTGCTAGTTATAATATATATTGGGAGGGACACACATCCCCCCACACATCCCCCCCCCCCCCAATATTCAAATATGTTCAAAATGTCCCCCCTATATTGCTATAAAAATATTTAAAAAAATAATCATTGCGATGCTATGTAAATAAAAACAACAATTTGCTAAACCTTGGCCACAATATCTGGACTTGTCTTCATATAACAATGCATAGATTTCTGTCCATATGATTGTGGTTATGGTTGTACTTCATGAATCCCTGATCTCTGCCATTACATACAATGAAACAAGAAAATTAAAAAAGTAAAAACAGAGCAATGTTATTAGACATTATTGTAAAAAATAAATAAAAAGTCCATCCCATGTGTTAGTGATTTTTTTTATATTTAAGGCAGGAAATGGCAGGAAATTAGTTTTCAAATTTAGATTTTTTTTCTGCGAGGTGGCCCCCAGACCCGCTGAAAGATCCCCCCCCCCCCCATGTTGATTCCATGGCTACGGCCTTGGCGTCAAGATACAATCTGAACGAGACTGGCTCGCTGGACGAATTGCACGGCAACCGATCAAGATGGCTACCCCCCCTCTCCGCAAAGTGAACACCACGTGAATGAGGAGGCTCAAGACCGCACAGGACGGAGGGAGTTTGAGCCTGACCCTGTCTGGCCCGGCACGACCATAGCTTATCGACGGCTATCGGATTCGCCTGGCCGTGTCTGAACGAGTCTTTTTGGGTTTGGAAGCGCGTCCAGTTTCTGCCGGAATAAAGGTGCGTTCACGATTCTGGCAAATGCGCCGATGATGCTGGATGTAATTACGGGCAAAACGCCACTTGTGCTCAAATTGTAAATGCTGTAGATTTAATCTCCAACACAGCCGTGGGCTGAAGTAGTATATGTCACTGTATTCTACACTATACACTATACACTACACTATACACTACACTATACACTACACTATACACTCCATTATAGACTACACTATAAACTACACTACTATACACTATACACTACACTATACACTACACTATACACTACACTATACACGACTATACACTACACATTACACTACACTATACACTACTCTATACACGACTATACACTACACATTACACTACACTATACACTACACATTACACTACACTATACACTACACATTACACTACACTATACACTACTCTATACACGACTATACACTACACATTGCACTACACTATACACTACTCTATACACGACTATACACTACACATTACACTACACTATACACTACTCTATACACTATACACTACACATTACACTACACTATACACTACACATTACACTATACACTCCATTATAGACTACACTATACACTACACTATACACTACACTATACACGACACTATACACTACACTATACACTACACTATACACTACAATACACTACACTATACACTACACTATACACTAATATACACTACACTATATACTACACTATACACTACACTATACACTCCATTATAGACTACACTATACACTAATATACACTATGATAAACACTACTATACACTACACTATACACTACACTACACACTACACTATACACTACTATACACTACACTATACACTACTATACACTACACTATACACTACTATACACTACACTATACACTGCTATACACTACACTATACACTACACTATCCTAGTAACTAATTGGGGCGTTGTTTACGTGACAAACCTTACTGGCTGTATCACGTGGTGGAGGGTTAGGACACAACATTCAAACTTTATGCAATTGTAGTAACCCTCCCGGAAACGGCTTCGGAATCAGTCCTTTATTTCCACTTCCAATACACTTGCTCACTCACTCTCCGTTGCTGGCAGACAACGGAGAGAGGACAGACTACACACTCAGTCCTCTCCGCGCACGTGGCAACCCCCAGCCCCCGTCCGCACGTGACCCCGCTCCTGTTAGTTTCAGTCTGCTCACGATCGCTCTCTCTCACTCGCTCTTAACACCTTCGTCACGTGGTTCCCCCAGCCAATCGTTCATAGACAGCTTTGACCATTCTCGATGGTTCCCTATCAATCCCGGGACCACGCCCCTCATCCGGCTCCCCATTTGCTGGGACCCCGAATGGCTGGGCCAATCACTCCTGATGACCTGTCGTGATGATGCATGGGCCATGGTCCCTATCTCAACCCTTATTGGCTACAAGCAGGACCGGCAAGCCCATTCCCACGTGAACCCTCTATGGCTGTTATTACATCACCCCCCCCTTGGTGAAAAAAATTCAGCCGTCTCGGCTGGGAAAAGGGTGAAGAACCAATTCCGCGACATCTTATTAGGGCACCAAGGTGCGTTTAACGATTTGAGGGTGAACCGGCGTTCCTGCGCCTAACAACATGTATAACAGTCACCCATAATAATTCTAAGAAAATCACACCATACATTAGGGCGCCCCTGCAGCGCGTTAACGACAGGGAATTAGCGAATGATCGAACGTTAACGAAACGGAAAAGATTTCGACCGCGTACGCGACGCGGGACCCTCTCCGCTCCCAGCGCAAGGTCGCTTCGCTTCCGGATGGACAGGAGGTGGCAGGCTCGAAGAAGAAGTAGGTTGTTGGTGCATGGTCACGTCCAGGGCGGGCCCCGTTGGAGGGGGGGCAGCGGGGGCTTCCTCAGCCCTCAGAACCTGTTCGTCTGCAGGAGGCACAACACAGTCCCCCTCGGGATCAACGGGCGTGTCAAGCGGCGCAGTCGGCCCAGCAGAACCCGGCAGGTCAGATATTGGGGATGAAGGACCGACACGCGCGTCAACATAGGGTTTAAGTCGCGAGGAATGAACATACCACCGACGTTTGCCGTATTGAACGCGGATACTTTGCGAGTTCCGAACATCTACGAGCGTCACAGGCCCCCCGCCATGGCCTGTGCAATTTAGGGGATGTGCCCGCCGGTACCTGGGGGCAGTGGAGCCACGCCAGGTCTCCCACTGACCAAGGCATGCGAGTATGCGATCGACGCGCGTACCCTATGGGGACCTCATTTGCCAGTAAAAATATGATAATTGGTTCTTTACCCTTCTATCTGGCAACAAAACTGACACCTTTTTGCAAGGAGTCATGTTTGCATAGACCGCAATACCTGCAGTCATAATACAAACAAAAGAACATAACTCTGATAATGTGCACTGTCCTTGAAGTTGATTGGTCCACACCCGAGACAGCTTTCCTTAGAGCCTAGTCTCATATGGGTTGGACCAGATGACGCCAAAAGGCGCACAACTCAAGGACAATGCACCATCAGAGTATGAGAGCTCGGGGCAAGCATCTACACTATGGGGACCTCATTTGCCAGTAAAAATATGATAATTGGTTCTTTACCCTTCTATCTATATGTTCTTTTGTTTGTATTATGACTGCAGGTATTGCGGTCTATGCAAACATGACTCCTTGCAAAAAGGTGTCAGTTTTGTTGCCAGATAGAAGGGTAAAGAACCAATTATCGACGCGCGTACCGTTCGTTCCTTGCCTGAGCACGGGCCGTCGCACACCGGGCAGCCTCTCGCGCTTCCGTTACTCGTTCAAGCGAGTCACGCACGTGGTCAGGCAGGGAACGGGACGGTTGTTTACTCGGCGTACCCAGTTGCACATCGATGGGTGGAACATTTTCACGGCCATACATAAAAAAAAAACGGCGAGTATCCCGTGGACGTGTGCGGAACCATGCGGTATGCCGCCAAAACGCCTGGTATGTGCAAGTCCCAATCGGTTTGCTTTTCACTGACCGTGTGACAAAGCATAGCGGAAAGGGTACGGTTGAATCGTTCCACCACACCATCTGTTTGTGGATGGTATGGGGAGGTGCGAACCTTCTTTGTACCTAGCGCGTCACAAACTTCCTTAAGCAATTTAGAGGAGAAATTCCGACCTTGATCCGTGAGCAGCCTCTCAGGTGCCCCTTTGTCCATGACATACCCGTTCAGGAAAGCGTCGGTGATGGACGCTGCCGTTTGGTCGGGTAGAGGCCAGGCCATCGGCCATCGAGAAAAATATTCCACCCCGACCAGAAGGTATTTATTGCCCCTAGCCGACGGGGGGAAACGGCCCCAGAATGTCGAGAGCCACTAATTCGTTGATACGGGACACTTCAATGGAACGCAACGGTGGTACATAGTGGTTCCGAGGCGG